GTGTCTTTGTCCTCGCAATGACGTGCTATCCCGGGCTCTCGCGCCTGCTTCGCTACGCTGCGCGTGAATGGTTCGGGCATGGGGTTTGCGATTTCATAGTTGTTGCAGCTATGCAGTTCTGCCGGTGCGCTGAGTTCCCCGGCCCCGGGTGCGATGCATGTTCTCCGTCGTTCAGTGCGCGGCGTTGGGGCGTTTTGCATCAGTCCCGCTCTGCCCTCGCCCCCTCCCCCCGCTTCTCTGCGCCCCCCCGCGGCGGGCATTGAGCCGCGTTTTGTTGGGGGGGCTTCCTCCTAGGCAGCGGCGGGAAGTCACTTCTGCATCGCATCCGCGACATTTGTTTGACTCTTCGTTGTCCACGGGGGGGCGCGCGATTTGCCCGCTGGTGGCGTTGCGGGCGGCTGACGGCGAGCGGTTTCGGGCTGGTGCTTCGCGCGTTTCCTGCCCTTCCGTATACCTGGCCCAGGCTGTCCTCGTATTTGTTTTCTTGTAGTTGAGCGTGCCGATCGCCGAGAATGAGGTGACAGTAGCCCGGCTGGCCAACCCGGCGCGATTGTTCTCTGTTGTGCACGGGCATAGCTCCCGCGAAGGAGAAGCGGATTTGCTCCTGGGGGTGCAGAGAAACGCCCAAATGCGTTTGGAGTTCTCGCCCGCGTCCCGGGGCTTCTACTTCCATCCCGCAATTCTCTATCTGATCTCGGGGCTCTTTTCCTCTTCCCGGACGCGTCGGTTCAATCCCTGCGCGCCCCATGAGCCATGCATGCCCTCCGAGGCCCATGAGCACCATGGGCCCAGTGAGCCCGCTGCGCCCTGTGAGCACTGTGGGCCCACGAGAATGATAATGATGGATGGGTGCGACTATGACATTGATGTTGATGGCGTTTGATTGTCTGATTATGGTGACGGTGGTGATGTTTATGATCCGACACTGGTGGCGCTGCCGCGGATGACACTGATGCCGGCGATGTTGATTGCGGGGATGAGGCGGCGATCGCCGCTTCGGAGATCGGTCGCTGGCCCTCCTTCATGGCTGCCAAGGGTGATTCCTTGAGCCCCACCGTCTGCGGGTTTGCTTGCCGACGACGCCGAAGACGACGAGGCCGGTCGTCGTCGTCGTTGACCTTGTCGTCTCCGATCGCACGGTTTGTGTAGGTTTCGAAATATTGCCCGAAGTTGTTCCCCATGGATCGTCTCAAATTTGCCCCAGTGGCCCGAGGCATGTCGATCCCAATGGCATGTGTGATGTTGGATGCCGCCCCCACTTAATGCTGACTGCATCGGTTGATCTTTAGAATCCCAGTGCCTCCTGTTGCATTAAAATGCAAGTTTCCCTATGTGCGCTGATTCCAGCCTCGCATGTCATGCTGGCCCTCACTCGGTCGCTGCGTGCTTGAACAGTTCGCCGCTTAATCTTGTTCCCAGTGGCCCGCGCAATGTTGCTGCAGACGTCGACGACGCCCCCGCGCGCATGGACCTTTTGCTGTCGGTTTTTCGAAGCCCCATCGGAACTCTTTCGGGCCCGTCTAGGCCCACTTGGGATGTTCTCGGGCCCTCGTTGGCCGTCTTGGGTGCGTCGTGGGGCCCTTCTGGCTTCTTTCTGGCCCCGAGCAAGTCGCGCGCCGCCGCGCGACGGCGCGCGGGCGGCCCACGACAAGCAGCGGGAAACCCCGATACATTGGAGAAATCGAGGCCCGGGCTCTGCAGAAACCCTTCAGGAATCAGGGTTGAGGCTTAGAGGATTAGAGAGGGGGCCCGAGGACACAGAGGGCGCCGGGTTCCCGCAACAGTGCACACAACGGGTCCAGGGGGGCGGGGGTGTCAGAGGGGGCGGGGGGGGCCGGCGTCGTTTTTTCGCACGATGCTGAGCTCCTAAAAACATCTACGCGCAGAGGGCCCGGGAAAATGGAGGTGTCGGAGGGGTTGGGGGGTGCCGGCGTCGTTTTTGGCTGGGTGCAGGGTCTGTGCAGCGGTGCGCGCAGAGGGTCCAGGAAGGTGGGGGTGTCTGAGGGGGTGGAGGTGTCGGCGTCGTTTCCTGTGGGTGCAGGGCTTACAACAGCACGCGCAGAGTGTCCAGGAGGGTGGGGGTGTCAGATTGGGCGGGAGGCGCCAGCGTCGTTGTTTGCAGGGCGCAGGGTCCGTACAACAGTGCACGCTGAGGGTCCAGGAGTGTCGGGAGGTCAAGGGGGGTGGGAGGTGTTGGCGTTGTTTTCGTAGGGTGCAGAGTCCTTGAAAAAGTGCACAGGGGGCCCAGGATAGTGGGAATGTCTGAGACGGTGGGGCGTGCCGGCGTTTGTTTTGCTGGGCGCAGGGCCTTTTTTTATGCGCAGATGGCCCGGGAGGATGGGGATGTCAGAGAGGGCGGGAGTTGCCGGCGTCGTTGTTGGTCGGGCGCAAGGTTTGTAAAACAATGCACACAGGGTCCAGGAGGGTGGGGTGTCAGAGGGGGTGGAGGGTGCCTGCGTCGTTTTTTTGCATGGCGCAGCGTCCTTTAAACAACAGTATCTACACGCAGACGGCCCAGGAAAGTGGGGGTGTCAGAGTGGGTGGGGGGGGGGCGCAGGCGTCGTTTTTGGCAGGGCGCAGGGTCTGCGAAACAGCGCGCGCGGAGGGCCCGGGAGGGCGGCGGTGCCAGAGGGGGTGGGAGGTGCCAGCCACGTTTTTTGCACGGTGCAGGGCTTTTAAAACAGCACACAGAGGATCCAGGAGGGTGGGGTTGCCAGCGAGGGGGGTGGGGGGGGGGGCGCGCCGGCGTCGCCTTTAGTTTGGTACAGGGCCCTGACAGAGTGCACGCAGAGGATCCGGGAGTGTCGGGGCGTCAGAGGGGGCGGGGGGGGGGGCCGGCGTCGTTGTTTGCAAGGCGCAAGGTCCACGACGCAGGTTGGCCAAGCGAGCGACGAAGAAGTCGAATGGGAAGCAAAGGCGCAACAAGTGTTTCGCTGATGAAGAGCGCAAGAATAAGGAAGTTGCTGAGCGGAGTTGGGTGTCGGTGACGAAAAGATATAAGTCGAGATAGGTGCGATGCGTTGGGCGGGTAGAGCCCCCGCTGGGTGAGATGCAAACCGGGTGGGAAGCGCGGCGGCGGGGGGCCCGAAGGACCGAGCTTCCGTGGAGTGGAGGTGCTGGTGGCCGGGGCCCGAAGAACAGCGGTTCCGCGGGCGGAGGTGCCGCGGCGGGAAGGGGGGCCCTGGTCGGCGCTGCGCGAGGATTGGTTGGGCATCAGCAGGGGCGCCATGCAGGGGGGCGTTTTGAGTTCGCTCTTTGACAACGCTGATGTTGAACAGGCCTTGCGTCGATTCAAAGACTGCGTTCAAGGCGCGGGGCGTGACTTCGGGGCGGCCGAGGTGCTGTTGACCGACGTGCGGCGCGCAGACGATATACTTCGCTACGCCGCTTCGAAGGACGTCTCCGGCGCGCTTGCCGTTCTCCGCCGAGACTTGTTCCGGAGCGGTTTAGAGCTGAACGCGAGCAAGACCAATGCATTCACAAATGACCTTGAGAATGCTGCACTTCAGGCGCCTCTGATGCTGGAAGTTGACGGTTGTAGCGCGCCCGTGACGTTGAAAACGGGCATGCGCAAGTCTTTGGGGAAACGCTTCCACTGAGTTTTCTGTGAACGCGGCTCATGTAATCTAGAATGCCGGATGCAATGCGCATAGCCCAAGTGGCACATGTCCAAGGCAACTTTCACCAACAAACGCGTCTCGCTGAAGATGCGCCTGAAGTTGTTCGACAGCGTCGCCACGCCGACCGCCATTTTCAGTCTGGCCACAACGCCATTGACTACGCGACAGAGAGCAATGCTATGCAGTGTCCAGGCGCAAATGTTACGACGCATCGTTGGGGTTCGCAGAGCTGATCACGAATCCTGGGATGAGAGTGGTCGCCAGTGCATGCGAAGAGTAGAACGAGCTATGATTGTGCGCGAAGTGCCAGACTGGCTCGAGGTAGTGGATGCTAGCCGTTGGAAATCCAGATGCCGAGTTTGCGCCAAGAGACACGGGTGGCCATCTCTGGCCTTGCGCTAGCGTCTTGGCGGTCCGCGTAGAATTATGCGTCCCAGAATTAAGTGGGTCGACTCAATTGATTATTCCTTCCCGGATCGCTTCAATACCAGTTCGGAGCGGATTGTGCAGGACTGCCCCGGCATGCTGGTGCAGGGTTTCTTTGTCAGCACTTGTCATACGCTCGAGGCTGTGCGCAGCAATCCGCGAGGGGTGCGCTCATTATTTGCACATGTTCGCTGCGCGTGTCCTTCCATTTATGCGTGAACCACGCCGTTCCCGCGAGCGGGACGAAACGTCCTAAGGCGCTCGGTCGGACTTGTTATTATGGTGTTCCGGACCACAGATCTCGGGTTAATTTCCGCACCCAGGGACACTGCAAGACCGTTCGGCCCCCTTCACTCTGATGAGCTGTCGGAGGTACACGCAGATGTCTTGGATCGGCGCAGAAACTCTTTGGCGGCGCCTCCAGCGCCGCCCCTGGCGCGCCCCGCGCGCCAGGGACGGGGGCCCAAAGCCGATCCAAAACGTCAGCGCAGACTTTCGAAAACTTACGCTTATGCCGATTATGCCTCTTCCAGCGGAAACAACGGGGACGAAAACAGGGTACGATTTGATCCGATCGGCCCGATGCGATTTTGATCTCGGTGGGCCCGACCCGATTCCAATATTCCGACGATCCAATGCGGCCCGATGATTGCACGGTGTTGTTATGCATGCTGGCTTTGCTGATCCGATTCGATACCGACATTGTGCGCCCGATTCGATGCACGTTGCGATACGACGTGATTTCACCGATTCGATGTTGGCCGCTGCTGGACACAGACCGACAGCAGGTCGTGCCCATGTTTGAATAGGCATCGTTGTCGGTGTTGCCGCGGGCGTTGCCGATTCGAGATGGGCGCCGCCTGCCAAGCAGTGCCCACCGTCGGTTTTGAGCAACGTCCGCTGCTGGGCATCGTGCGCCCGCTTTGTGCCCGTCATCACCCCGGGCGTGCCGAGGAGAAGCAGTGGCGCTGGGTCGACTCGGCCTACGAGAAGCACGCCTGGACGGCGGTGCAGCGCAGGCGCGCCGCGCAGCAGTCGGAGACACCCCCAGTTGCGCCCCCCGACGGCTGGCCGGCGGGCTCGTCCGAATGGGCGGTGGCGGACCCGCCGGGCCCTTGCGACGGCGGCCGCTGGCAGTACGCCGTGGACTTTTACGTCACCGATGCGCTGTGGGCGGAGAGCCCCACGATTCGGGTGATGCCAAAGGGGCCCCTGGCCCAAGGTGTCCCGTAGTGTGTCTTGGCGTTCTCGCGTCGTGATATGATCACGACGGACGGTTGTTGACAGTTTTCAACTTCCAAAACCTTCACAAAGCCCCGTGGACGCTCAAACATCGGTTCAGGATGAAAAGCTGGTCCCCAGGAAGGGGTCCAGCCTCTTCGGTATGTAAAAAATCACGACGTCGGATGTCAGGGTTGGCCCCCAAGGCGTCCCTGGTTGTTCGCACCATTTTGTAGCCTCTCGGGCCCTCTGAGCCTCGCGGGGAGTGCTCTGGAGGCCATCGGGGCATCTGTGGTGTCCCCTGGTGGACACCTTGGGCCAGGGACGCTTCCAGCAACACCCGAGCGATGTACCACTGCCGGCGAAGGCTCTGGAGGCCCACCATGTCAATATCGCTTCACCGATCCCTATCCCCATCCCCATCCCGACCCCCGCCATCCCACCGCTCCAGTTGGGGATATGCTCCTCGAAGCCCGCAGGAAGCAGCCCATCTCCCTTCCTGGAGGGGTAAATCGGCCAGTGAAACCCAGGCCACGCCGATGGGGAGTGGGATCTGGTTCACGAGGCGCACCATCCCGTCCGCGGCCGCTGCTGCGCCACAGGCGCTCGCGCCCGCAGCGCCGGCGCGCGCCCCCACCGCCCCGGCGGAGGAGCCCCGGCGCGCTGCCAGCAGCGCGCCCGAGCTCAGGGAGACGGCGAGTTCGACAGGGTAGGTTTGTGCCGCGTGGACGCGGCGGCGACCCCAGCGCGGGCGTTCAAGGTTAAACGCCGCCAGTGGCGCAGAATCGGCCTATGTCGAGCGATCTGCGTTATCGGAGAGTCGCGATCGTGCAAGGTTGAACGACCCACGCGGCGTCAGAAACCAACGCCCGCGACATGGCGACGCGAACCAGCCGTGGCAAATCATGGGAGTTTTGTATACCCTCGTAAGTCAGTTTTTCTAGCGCCCTAATGTCGACTAGCGCCTGGTAATTGATGCGATGGCGCCGATGTAGCGTCGATTCAGCGTCGATCGAGCATCGACTCAGCGTCGGTTCAGTGTCGAGCAGCGTCGACTCGCGGGAGCCAACAATATGGTGTGGGAGGCTCCCATGAGTTGCCGCAGAAGGTGCGGGAGGAGGTTCCCGGCATCAGCCTCGCGAGGGAGGCGGCGGGGCCGCCAAGCCCTCGGCCACCGACGTCTTGAGAACTTCTCGCCGGCCCCGGGAGCTCTGGGCATCTCTTCCGGGATCGGCTTCTCGTCCCGAGTCGTATCGTGGCGGTCTGGGGGCCTTGTGAGGGCCCCCCGAGACCGAATGACGGCCAACGGCCGTCCGTCGCGACCCTTTCGCGACGCGAGGCGGTCTGGGATCCCGTCACGACGCTACGAGGTCTGGGACTCCTGTGCAGACGCCGACCCTGGCCCGCCCAATCGTACGGAGCGTGGGCGCCGAGGCCGCCACGGCCAGGGCCCGGCGCGGGTGCACAGCCCCCCTGCCTCTTCTTCTCGCAGCGGGCTAATCACGACGGGAGGGCTCTGCCACTTGAGCGACGCGGAAGAACGGGACCGTCTTCACCTGCATTGGCGTGCAAGGTCGCGCGTGAGCGCGCTCTTCTCCACGCCGTGCGCCGCGTCGGCAGCCCGCGTAAGCTACCGCGTAAAGTCGCATCTCGCGTAAGACCTGTCCTGGTCATCGCTCAATTATATTTTTCCGCAGGCCTTCACCAGGCGCTGGGGCCGTCAAACAATTGCCCCGGGATGAAGAAAAGCCTGTCCAGAGGAACCACGTTGAGAAAAAATGAAGGCTGCAGGGACGAACCCAAAGATTTGGGGAACTACGTTTTGAAAGAGTTAGTAAGGCGTCAGGTGATCGGGAGTTGGCGCCTCCCATACGGAAGGCGGAGCGGCTGCTCGCGCCCGAGTGGACCGTCGGCTGCCTACCAGTCGACGTCCTGTTGGAGGCGACTGGCGCCGTCGAGGTCGAGGCCGGGCCCTGGCTCAGGGCCCCGGGCCCCGGCGGAGATAGAG